AGAAAGAAAGCAGTTAAGCCTGTGCATCCCTTCTGTCTCTTCCAGGATTTGGGCCAAACTGGCTCTTCAGGCAATGACAGAAGATGCTCTTCAGAAAAAGGACAGGCTGTAAGGAGCTGCTGGGGAGGGGCAGAAAACCGGAGGGCTCCTAGATAAGCCGTTGTTAACACGATCCATATGGTACACAAGTTGCCTTTCTGTTTAACCAAAATGATAATGGGAAAAGGGAAAAATGCAGGGGGGGGAGGGAGCAGGACAGTGGTTGGGGTCTCCAACAGAGAATGGGAGCCAGGACAAAGACTGCTAGTAAAAAATTCTGTAGAGTGGACTTAGAAGTCACACGGAAGGAGCTGCCCTATTCTGTTTGTTTGCAATTTAAGCTGCACAAACAGCAGCTTCCCCCTCCCTTCCCGCTCAATGGAACATCCACTCCCCTCACACTCCCCTCACATATATTTTTTCCTATATTAAAATATCACCAAACGCAAGATTTTTTTTTTTAGGAAATCTTGAAGTGACTTTTTATGAAATGACACCCCTACCGAAAATCACTACAAACTGAGCAAGTTTTGACTGCATGACTACAGTTTTAAAATATCTACATTGTGAGAGGAATTTTTGCCCTTCTGCCCTCAAGGATGTGCACCCGTATGCACACAGACGTGCATGTTTATGTGAGGAGAAAGATAGGGCCTACACATCTTTTCAAGAGATGCAAAGCCTATATTTGTCGCTACTTACAATCAAAGAGCCATACAAAAAAAGGAAGAACATTTTTGTTGCTGAACAAAATATAAGCTCAATACAGTTTAAAGGGTAGTCTGCATTCTATGTATCACTATACTGATCACTGCTGAATTCAGAGCTACTGGCATGTGAAAATGGGGGAAATGCCCCCCCCCATTTAGGCTTTCCCAAAAATGCTTTGGGTTGAAGAAACAAAGGGCCAATTACAGGAAATCCTTTCTGCAAAAACTTTGGGATATATGTTCTTTAAAATATAAATCCTTATAGACCAATTTGTTTTACTAGCCCTTAAGAATTCCTTCCATTTCTCTTTCCAGAAAACTTTTATGTTAGTGTCCTTAAAAGAAAAAAGGGGAAAAAGTCCCTTCAAAACACAATTTTAAGGATGCTTATTCAGTCATAAATTCTACTCAGATCAATGGAAAGTATTTCCAAGTAAGAGTGCCCAAAATTACTTCTGTTTTCAATGAAAAAGGGCCTGTCAATTGAAGATATTTTAGCTTAATATTTTATCTTCAACAATTTGATTTTAAATATGATTGTTATATGTTTAAAGTTTGGGGCTGGGATATAGTTAAAACATTTCAACTTAATACATACAGTAAATGATTTTATTCATCTTCACTATTTTTATATTTACACCACTGTAATATATCAGAAGCAAGCCACTTCAAAAAATAGGCAACTGTGACCTTAACCCAGAGTCTCACTGATTACAATTGGTCCCACCAATAAATCAACTAAAACACTTTTATGGATCAATCTACTAATTAAACCAATTAAAGCTTGCAGCCTAAATTTTAAATATTCAATATTCACAAATCACATAGAAAGCAATCAAAGGAAATTCGTGGAATCTGAATCAGTGTGCTTGCCAAATGAATGGTTCCATAATTTACCAACATTAACAATCCAAGGCACACTCAAATTGCTACAGCTGTTACAACCACATTAGATAGCACTTGTCCAAACAAACTATAAAAGGACCAATTTGCAAATAGAATGAAAGGCACTGAAAACTGAAGTCTTAAGTAACCATTGTTGTGACATATCCTCTAAATTTTTATCCATTATCCATTTTGAAAATAAATCCAAAGAGTGATCCAAATCATGATGTTTTGTTCACCTGGGCATTTCCAGTGCTCCAATACTAGACTTTCTTTAAAATTAATCTTGTTTGATTAGCTTCATGATCACTGTTATTTTAGATTATATCACTATAACTTTATTGTATCACTTTTATTCATTTTGCTGAGGATTAGGCTCTGATTTCAAGAAAATGAGCAAGATGCCAAAAGAGTAAGTGTTCCTTTGCTTGAGAGCAGGGGTGTCAAACTGCCGGTCCATGGGCCAGACACATCACCAGGAAACTGCGCCCACCCCATTGCTGGCAATGGGGAAAAAGCTCCGATATGTCGCGCGGCGTCATTTGATGTCGCGAGTTTGACATGTCTGCTTAGAGAAATACATGTCCAGTAAACACAAAGAAAACCTGGATATTGGTGTTGACTGGAGTCATAATTATCCTTCCCAGAAACAAAGGGAGAACTGCTCTGGAATTATGTGCTATAAGGATGTTGGCAGCAAAAAGAGATAAATCTCTGATTGAGTCTACTGTCCAATCCTCCTTGATTTTCAGAGCAGGCTATATATAGTCCTCGACTTACAACAATTTGTCTAGTGACCATTCAAAGTTACAACAGCACTGAAAAAAGTTACTTATGACTGTGTTTTCACACTTACAACGGTTGCAGCATCCCTTCATATGATAAAAATTCAGATGTTTGGCAACTGACTCATATTTATGAGGGTTGCAGTGTCCCTGAGTCATGTGATGATCACCTTTTGCAACCTTCTGACAAGTAAAGTCAATGGGGAAGCCAGATTCACTTAACAACAGTGTTACTAACAACCATGGTGATCCACTTAACAACTGTGGCCAGAAAGGTCATAAAATAGGGCAAAATTCACTTAACAAATGTCTCACCTAGCAACAGAAATGTTGGGCTCAACTGTGGTTGTAAGTCAAGGACTACCTGTAACCAAATACAAAGTGGCTGAATTTGCTAAAAAAATAAACAAACAAACCACCACCCTCAATTATTCAGTATTCCCCATCTTTTTGGAGAGAAGCAGGAAGGCATGACTAAGACAAGAGGCAGGGAACACCCATGTTAAATAGCGTGGGCCAATCAATGTCACTGTTTTGAGAAGACATATTTTATGCCAAAGGTTGGCTTTCATGCTGCTTCTTTTTCTCACCTCACTAAGAAAGGAAATAGAAATCTGAGTGGATACCATTTAGCTGCTCTCCCCAACAAAGTGCCTGCCACACTGAGTTGCACTGCAACAACTCTGTCTCTAGCCATCATGGGGGAAGATGATGGGGGAAGTACTAGTTCAATGCATCCAGTGGGTGGGTGTCAGATGAAAATTGCTAAGAATACAGGTGTGTTTAGAAACACCAATAATGTTAATCTGCAGTTAGAAGAGGATTCACAGCAAAGTTGAGACATTTTTGCTTAGCACCACAGTACCCTGAAAAGATATAGAGGGACTAAAACAAACCAAGCTTTTCTGGGGGATTCTTCTTACAAGCTCTAATGCTTCAGCTTCATCTCTGTTTTTGTGTCTGATCTTGCAGGCTACAAACCTGATCAAATTTCTGAAGGGTTATGCATGACAGGCGTAATGCCCAATGGAGCCCCATTCCTGGGCAGAATCCAGCAAGGCCCTTCCACACCCCTCCCCTTGCCCGGGAGCTGCATTTCTGGAGCATGCAAAATAACGTCATGGATGATGAGGCAAACGCTGCCTCAAACTGACAAGGCTGGAAGCCGCTCTGCCTGCTCCCTGCAAGTTTGGTTAATTGACAGTTCACTAAACCGACAACCTGAGGGGATTTTTTTTTTTTCAAGGCAATCAATAGGAAACGTATGTGCGGAGAGGGCGCTCCCACTTTTAAACGCCCCTCCCTCCCTCCTCCCCCCCCCCATGCCTGCAAAACAGAGAGCCTGGCCAGGCCATAGAAAAGGCAAGAGCCATTGCCACGCCGAATCAAAATTCCTCAAGAGACGCTGCTCCTCGAGCCCCAGGGGTCACTGAAGAGACAGCCTCAAACAAAGGCCACCGCTTTCTGGTTGCCCCCCGATATATAACCGCATTTAGCCCTTTTTCTCCAATCGCGGGCAAAGGAGCTGCACGCAACGCTGCAAGTCCAACAGCTTTTACCGCCGGCCCCTTTCCAAGCCCCGCTTGGCGTCCAGGCAGCCCCTGCCTGCCTGTGCAACTCCCCGCAAGTAAAACTTTTCCCCGAGGGTGGGATGGACTTCCCACCCCACTTTCCCCCCGCCAAGGCAGGCACCCAACCCCGGAGACCTTCCGAAGCCCCCCCCCATACACGCACTGCCTTTCAAAACACCAGCAGGCAAGTTAATCGCGACCTTTGCTCTCTTGTGTGCAGGATTTACGCCCCAGCGGCAGGCAGGGCCCTCCCTTCAGGAACGAACCCCCAGGCCCGCCCGTGCCAGCGCCGAAGAAAAGCCTTCGGGGAACAAAATAAGGCTCCACGGAGCACAATGGGGATCCCGTGGGGTGCCAGAGGGCTGGGATGCTTTGCGTCACGCACCCGTCCTACCAAATAACGGTTGTGCTTTCCGGGGAGGGGGGGGGGGTGAGGTTTGCCCAGCCCGCTTTCGACACGCACCGGCCCTGCGCGACGGACACGAACGAGCTTCCTACACACAATACCTCCGCTCCTATTTCTCTCCCCTGCCTGCATTCCTCAACGCTGATCTCAGCCCCTCCCCGACCCGAAGGAACCAGCCCCGTGGGCCTTTGGCAGCCGGACCGTCGCCTCCCCTCTCGCGCGTCTCTATCCCCGCTTTCTCACGCGGCGCCCGAACGAAAATCCACCCCCGATCCTCCACCGCAATCGGCTCGTGCCCATTTCAGTTAATCCTTCCAACTGCCCGTGGGATTGGGTCACCGTGGGAGCAGCATCTTGGCACCCACATCCAGCCATCGCGACCATCTTCTCCCACCCGTTGGTTTTGGCCAGTCCAAGCCAGCCCCGCACCCTTTTCCCCCTGGAAACTGCCCAAACGCCTAAGGTCCCGTCCACGGAGGGGGCCTCCTCGTCCGACCGGGCGGGCATCCCGGCATTGCGCGGCCTCCGAGCTGGCGTCCAGTCCACAACTCAGCCCCGCTCCTCGTCCCCGAGACCCCCTGACAGCGCTTCTGCTGCCACTCACCTACTCATCCCTGCCTGTCCCTAGCGGAACCCGGCGCAGCCACCTGGTCCGCGTGGCCGGGGCGCTTCAGCTGCGGAGCCGGGCGCTGCGGCGCTGTGGGCGGCCGCGGGACTCCGCATCCTCTTTGCCACCCGGCTGGGACGGCGCAGCACCCGAGCCGCCGAGATTGCTGCTCCTTCGGCCAGTCAAGCGAGCAGTTCCAGGCTGCGCGCCTCCCCTCTGCTTCCCCTTCCCTCCGCCCTGGATCCTCCCCCTGTCTCCAGCGGCCTGCCCACCTCCCTCCCCTTCTCTCCGGCTCTGCTCTCGGTCTTTCTTGCTGCCGCGCTGACCTTCCCCGCTTTCTACGATAATTCTAAGCCTTTCCAGCGGCCCGCTCCCTGGAGGCGCTGGTTCATCTCCCAGTTCCAGGCCAAGAAATGGATTCTGGAATCCCCCAAAATGCCTCCCAGGTCCATTAGGGAAGAAGAGGCCTTCTGGAAACCATCTGCCGGGGAACTGAGTTAAGTCGGCCTCTCCTAAGGTGAAGAGGCTTGGCCGGACCTAGATGGGAAAGCACACATTCACAATCACGCGTGGGACTTGGCGCAAGCCTCCCACACATGACCAGTGAAGGCCGGATGGCTGCTCCGTGAATGCTGGTTTCTCTCAAGGATCCCCAAGAGTGGGAAACAATGGGGTCTTTTGAATCCACCCCCGCAATTGTTCCAGGATGATCAGAAGCCATGCAAAAAAAATGTCCTTCAAAACTTCTGGCTATTTGGAGCCTAGGCTTTAAAAACAGAGAGAGCACCTTCCCCCAAACCGGGAATTGCTGTCCACTGCTTTTGGCATGGGAATGGGGTGTGATCCACCGAAAAGGGCATTTTCTTGCACGATGCTGCCTTTCATTCTTTCAACTTTGTTACATCTCCATTTGGGAATCAAGAAAGAACGGGCTCTTGTCCTTAAATTTCCATTTCCAGGTGATTGGGGGGGGGGGTTTGGGAAGGAGGGAATTACTTAAGCCTTTAGTAATAAATAACCACCATACTCTTTCAGGTTGGAGATGCAGACTGGCATGCATACTGTGACCACAGCCCTGGCATGCTGTTTTCTTAGATATGCTTACTGTAAATCTGTCGCTTAAGACGATTTCAATAAATATTCTGAGTGGACAGTCAGGATGATGGATTCCTTCTGACTGCAAAAACAGCCCTCAATTCAAGACTGCCTTACTTTTGCGTCTTGTAGCTCTGTCCTACAGATCAGGGTTCTTGTTCTTTCGTTACCCATGGCCCCCTTCTGAGCCTTATTAGTTCTGTGACCCCCAACATAGGCAATATTGTTTACTGTGAACTGTAGTAATTTTCAATGTTTATGTTGCTGAAATTAGCACAGAGAATGAGATGTGAGGATTACAACAAATTGATCGTATGCCTGGGCAGTTAGATGTGAGTAGGCCATGGGTGTCAAACTCACCCAATTGCGTCACATGACATAGCGTGATGTATCGCAATGTTTTTTGCCTGACACATCCTGCGTGGCCTGCACGTGACGCATCCAGCCCACGGCTGCCAGTTCGACACCCCTGGGCTAGCCTCTGAAAGTTACTGAGTTCCCCTAGAAATATGGCATAGCCCTCTAGGGGATCAAAAGGCCCACTCTGAGAACCATTGATAAAGACTATTAATAAAACTATATATCATGAGCAATCTGTTCTTCATTTTTCTCTGTGTCCATCCATCCGTCCATCCATCCATGCCTTTCATCCTTTTTTAAAATTATTTAATTTTTTTAAGCCTCCTCTTCAGGACAGTCCATGACCAAAACAGCTTATTATGGACCGATTAAGCTCTTCAAAAGGGATCAGAGCCACAGGGCTTAAGGCGATCTCATATTTACTCAGGTAGTTAGTGTTACAGGGTTTCTGTACCCCCTTCAATAATATTCCAGGCGTTGTGCTTCTAGAAGAGAGCCAGGCCAGCTATCATCAGAGACAATACCTGATCAAATGGAATTGGGAGTGGGAGGAAAAATGGTGGAATGGAGTCCTTTTTTTTTTTCCTTGCATCAGGCGAAATTCTCTTGCCATGGGTGGTATTTAGCAGAGCACTTGCTGGGACAGGTGAAAACACCTCTATTAAATATCTCTGGTGGAATAGAATATCGGAATATAAAATTATACCTCACTCACAGTTGAAATTAATTGTGCAGTATTACCTCTGGCTCCATTTTGTTATGCTAATTCCCAGGGTTGCCAGTGATTGGATAGCCTTGTTCCAATCCCTGGTTTTAAATATTCATTTTGTAAAATACTTTTTTTTACAAAAAAAACCAAAACGTGGTCAATATTCAGTGCCATGATTCCCTAACGGACTCTAAACTCATCTTCAGTATTCCAACCAAAAAACAAACCCCCCAATGGCATTTGCATCATTTTTTTATTCTATGAAAATGCTGATTATCATGTAATATATTAAATAAGCTTGCTTAAGCATACAGTATTCGACTGATGCCTGTTTAAGCTTGTGCTATTTCCTCTCTTCTTCCCCAATTCCAGTTCCCCTCCCCCATTGCTGGGTATAGCTTGCACAGCACACAACCCACATGCTTAGAAGCCTAATGAATAAGGATTGAAAAAGTAACCAATGAAACAGAACAAATCCCTCTTTTAACCTTCCTTTACAGCAGTACAAGAAGTGGGTATCTGCTGATCTCTCAAGGGATTTTTTTTTAAAAAAAACCTGGTTTCATTTAGCATGTCCACCAATTGTGTTAAAAATAGATACATTTAAGAGGAACATATTATTACTGTACTATCCTAGAAAAGAAAAATTAAAAAAATTGTAGTAGGTAGACTGGGACAACACTTTGACTTCATTTGTGTTTATTATATTGTGAATTGTCCATGATGCTCATGAAAATCATCAGTGTTGTGTCTTATGGAAACCATCTTTACATCCAAGGAAGGATATCAGTAAAGATTGTAATATGCTGCTGCAGTCAGAATTAGAAGCAGCTTTGCCTCTGGCCTCAATGGATGAAGGATAAGACTTTATATTTATGGGTTGTCTCCATAGAAACAGGAGTGGATCCCCAGAAGGCAAGGCAGGGGAGAGAGCATGGAAGGATTATGCCAAGGGGGTGATCAGAATAACTATATCATAGCAGCAAGCAGCAAAATATTGCAAAACTGGAAGAAGTCCATGAAGCAGCACAGATGATGAGGAAGAAGAGGGACTGGTTTCACGCAGTTGCAATACAACTATACCAATCCCCAGTGCTTTTTTTCTAAAAAAAAAATAATAAAAAAATAAGGTGCTGGAACTCACACGTCATACAACCCGCCTGGCCTACCCTACAAGGTTCCATCCAAAAAAGGTGCCAGAACTCCGTTCTGGGCGTTCTATGAGAAAAAAAGCCCTGCCAATCCCAAACAATTTGCAGAGTTCTGATTGGGCCATAATCAAGATAGGGTCTTCCTAATCTGAGGGCACATTAATCCTGAGGGTGGCGTTTCTGTTATTATTTTAATGATCAGAAAGTATAGAAGTTTCACATTTTGGGAAAAAGCTACAGAATAGAGCAATTGGAGTGACTCTAAAGGACTCTTTCTAAGTGGTAGTCAAAGTCTTGCCAGGAGTTTCCTGACTTTCATCTGTATAATGAATTATTTTATTTTATTATTTTACTCCCGTCTTAAAAAACACAATTCTGGCTGGCTTACAACAGTAAAAAAAAAAAAAAAACTAAAATGCAGGAGACCAGAAACCAAAACTGGTCCCTCAACCCTTCTCCTCTAATGCAGCCAACCCCACCATCTTCAGGCTCCAGTCTCACCCAATCCCAGTCCTTCATCCCACAGTCAGATATTCCCCATTTTGTCTCGCAAACATTGGCAAGAGGCTTAACAAAGACACAGCACACGGCATGTCTAAAATAGTCTGGAAGTGGAAGATGGGGAATTACTGGCAAGAGGGCAAAGTACAAAAGCAGGATATCCCAGAAAGAACTCCTAAAGAAGCAGAGGTTTGCATAGTCACTTTTATGATCTGTTGAAATCCTTTCCCAAACAATCAAAACATGAATCATTACTTGACTATTATATGTTGAATCAAAATTTTGGCGCTTCTTCCCATATCAAGAATTCAATGTTGAACTGGCTCTTGGCAGCCACTGGTCTGAGTTCCCAGGATGGGAAAGTTGCCCACTCTGAAAGCTGATGAAATAAAAGTCAGCGCATTGATTGTAAATATGGCCAAGAATAGTGGGATCTTGAATTCAGCAGGAGTCGCAAGAGGGCCAGGGATTTCTCATCCGGTACTCCTAAAGGACTGCAAAGTGACATTTGCAGGGAGCAGGACAGAAAATTTCATAAAGATGGTAGGACAGCATTAAAGTATGGTTTGGTTCAAAAGTTACTATTTTGATTGATTACGGTATATGTGAATGGGATCATGCTCTCCTTTTTAAGATTGCAAATGAGGGTAACAGTCAGTAACTATAGCAATGTAAGACTAAACTAAGGCCAATTCACTTAAATATGCATTATAGCACAGGGGATGAAGTGTCTCTATATTCGCAAAATCGGATCCAGGGTTTTAAAAATATGGCATTTTTTTTCCTTTTTAGTGAAAGAAAAACATGTAATAAATAATTCCCTCCCCTCACTACCAGTTCTTTTTCTGCATGTTGGTTTACCTGGATAGTCCCATCAACAACTTAAATTACGTTTCTGCTAGCAGTGGACAATTGTTCTATACAGCAAGAGCAGCTTTGTTCCTAAGGGGGGGGGGTGTATGGAAATGACAAAAGCCCCAAGCTGGCCTGCAAAATGAGGCCACAGTTGTCAAGAATCCCGTTTTTCCTTGCTTGGACAGAATCATGCACAAGTACGGGTCCTTTTTCTCCATTTAGAGGGCACCGAATCAGTGACAACAAAGGCTTGAAAGAGGATGACATATCATTTTGATTCTCACAGCCTCTGACTCCTCTGTTCAAACTGCAAACATTAGTGCTTTTAGCCTAGGAGGTTCCTAACATGTTGGTCAAAGACCGGTCACACTTAACACTCATTTCTGCTAATTGATGGGCCTATTAAGACTTGCTTTATAGCTGTGAGCTATTCAGAGGGCAGGCCTTGAGTCACTGCTTATAGTTTACAAAAAAAAAAAAAAAAACATTTGAGCTCAGTACATGGAAGTGGGAATGAGAAGAAGCATTTTCAATAAACAAGAGCATTT